AACCTAGTTAACAACTCAGTTAATGATCCTTTTAACAACTCAGTTAACGACCTAGTTAATGACCCAGTTAATGACCCAGTTAACAACCCAGTTAATGATCCTTTTAACAACCCAGTTAACGACCCTTTTAACAACTCAGTTAACGATCCAGTTAACAACCCTTTTAACAACCCAGTTAATGACCCTTTTAACAACCCAGTTAATGACCCAGTTAACATACTTGTTAACGTATCTGTTAATGTACCAGTTAATGTACCAGTTAACATACCTGTTAACGTATCTGTTAATGTACCTAATATTATACTAAAATTAATACTATTTGTCAAAAATTTTACTATTAAACTAAAGTTAAAAATAAACATATAATAAATATAAATTATACTAATAAAATTTACTAATAAAATCTTCTAAAATATACTAATAAAATCTACTAATATAACAGTATATAGTATTATTGCAATGATTTGCAATAATTTATATTAGTTATATAATGATTTACAGCATTATTTCCTAGTATTATTTTATATCATTATTATATAATATTATCAAAAAATATATAAATCCTGCCTTTTTCTCAAGGCAGAAGAACATTAATATATACTTCACAATTTATTTTTTGAATATTTATATCATTTCTGAGTATATTTGACTCTTTTCTTTGATTATTTTCTTGTGAAAAAACCTTTTTATTTTGTATTTTCTTAGTAATAAACTATTAATTTATTATATTTTTATAGTAATTTTATAATATTTTTATTGTATTTTCTTGTAAATTTATTGATATTTTTGATTTATACTTGAGTAAACATTGTTATTTTTGTCTTCTTGTTTAGTTATTTGATAATATTTTTATTTTAGTTTAAGCTTTTCTTTGGTTTTTCTTGTTTAAAACATTTTTTAACTACACTTATACATTAAGTCAAGTAATATATTTGTTTGACTTAACTGGTGATGACATATTTTATTATTAAAATATTTAATATTTAGTTAAGCCAAGCAAGCATATTACAATATAAAAAAACTATATAATATAATTATTATAATCTTAAATTAAAAATAAAAAAGTATATATATCTAATAATAACTAATAAAGTAAATAATATAATTACCAAAATAATATATATATATATATAAAGCTTAAAGAGCTTTATATTAACTTTAGTAAAATTTTAAAATTTTATAATCTTATTTTTTTATTAAAAAATTAATTCTAATTAATTCTTTATTAATTGTAACCAAGTATTATAAAAAAACAAAAAACTTTAGTAAAAAAGTGATTATAAGCTAATTATTGCTCAAAAATTTCTAGAAAAAATTTCAGTTTTAATATAATTTTTAACTAAAGTATTTTAGAATTTATTAATAGTTTAACTATTTTAGAACTAGAAAAATTTGCTTTATATTTATTAGAAACCTAACAAACTCTAACTTGATAAAACTTTTTTAAATTTTTAAAAATTAATATTTTTATGTTACTTAATTTGATTGATTAAAACTAATATAATATTAAATACTCAAAATAGGTTATTTTTTATAATACATAGTAAAAATAACTTTATTGGAGTAAAAATAGGAATCTCTATATTTAATACTAATCAAATGAATTCTAAAGCTTAGTATTCAAATATATAATTTATATTATTAATATATTTAAAGCCGGCCAAAATGAGTTACAAATTTAGTGTATTTTACAATAATACGTACGAATTTATACGTTAATTGTAATTTATACAAGATATAGTAAAATTTACTACGTATATGGTTACGTTGCCAGGAAAGTATTCTATACCACAATAAGAGTTTTATATTCTAATAAGAAGTTCATTTATAGAATACCAAGCCTTTTGATATTATTCTTTATAAATTTATTTATTTAGATATATAGTAAATTATATATTAAAGAATGACTATATATACAATATAAAAATTAAATGACAATCATTGCTTTATATAGCAACAATATTTTCAGACTGTCACGAATCATGAATGAAATGATGAAATGAATGAAATGAATGAAAAATAAGAATATAATAAACTTTTAACATTTTAACAACATTTAACCGAGATTTATTTTTAATCTCGAACAGGTTTTGAAACATTTTAGTTTATGACGCAATTGGGGGAGGTAGCAATTAAAATGTAGTACAGTAATTAAACGTTTTATTACACGTATTACGTTATTACGTACGTCTGTGTGGCGCACTAGCTTACATAGAAGCCCACAATTGGTACAAATCAATTGGTACGAATATAATTGGTACAAATATAATTTGGAGTTGTAATACTAAAAAGAAAAAAAAAGAAAAAGAAAATAAGAAATGATATTAAAGAAATGCAAAGGATAGTCAGCAATGTATGTACATACACATTATACACATTGGTGAATCTTTATAATTTTGAACGGTAAATATCCGAAATATTTTCCGATATATTAGTCAGAATTTTTTTTAAAAAAATTTAGTAAGAACGGGGTTACTCAATAGCACATGCATTAGATCACATAAATAACGACATATAAGAAATATAAGAAATCAGGAAGCAAAGACTAAAAATGGAAAAAGGTGACGATGATACGGAAATCTAAATTTATCAATGTTATGGTTACTAAAGGTATAAGAATAACTTTACAAACTGACGTACGTACGTACGTACGTACGTACGTAAGGGAGTGTTGATGTTCATGTCTGATAAGGCAAATCGTGAGGGCACGTGTGTATATCATCGCGTTTAAAGAATTAGAAATTCCAAAACATCACCCGATAATGATGTCACATAGCAAAATAGCGATAAGGTTACGGAAAAAAGCGACATCAGAAAGAAAGAAAAAAAACAGAAAACGAAAAATAATTCTCAGAATCAAATTCCAAAAGAAGACTTACCCCGTATTATTTAGCCAATTTGTTGAACGTTACAAGTCTAATAAAGCTTAAAGATCAACTAGATATTATTAAAAAAGCGTAATAAATAATGGATAATTAACGGGGACCTATCTTTGTTCTTAAAACTACATAAAGCCATTACCACAACAATTATGGAATGAAAGGGGAAAGTAATAGAGTACGATCCTTTAAATCGGTAGTTCAAAAAAGTTAATCCGTGAACCCAATAAGTTAAGTCTGGCGCAATTAAAACAGACTTGATCAACAATTTTAATCTCATGGAAATGATATACATAAATTAATATTAGTCATAATAAATAGGAAATGAAAGAATTTAGAATTTTAGAAATTTGGATAGTAAATAAAATAATAAATTAAGAGAATGAATTAATAAAAATAAATTAAGAGAATGAATTAATAAAATAAATTAAGAGAATGAATTAATAAAATAAATTAAGAGAATAAATTAAGGGAATAAGTTAAGAGAATAAATTAAGGGAATAAGTTAAGAGAATAAATTAAGGGAACAAGTTAAGAGAATATGTTACTGTAATAAAATAAATGAAGGAAACAAGTTAAGAGAATATGTTAATAAAATAAGTTAAGAGAATAGGTTAATAAAATAAATTAATAAAATAAATTAATAAAATAATTCAATAAAATAAATTAATAAATAAATCAATAAATAATTCAATAAATAAATCAATAAAATAAATTAATAAATAAATTAATAAATAAATCAATAAAATAAATTAATAAAATAAATTAATAAAATAATTCAATAAAATAAATTAATAAATAAATCAATAAATAATTCAATAAATAAATCAATAAAATAAATTAATAAATAAATTAATAAATAAATCAATAAAATAAATTAATAAATAAATCAATAAAATAAATCAATAAAATAAATTACAAAAATAAATTAAAAAGAAAACTATACGTACTAACGTATACGGGTATGTATCGAAAGTGGAATGAATATTGTTTTGTGAGCCATTTTGAAAGTAGTCATGTGATATTTAGTTAAATGCACGGATGTTAGTACAATAATAAAGTAATAATTTAAAGATTCATATGTTCTTCACCGTGTAAGGAAACACGCCCTTATCGGAGATACCCGAAAGAAAAATTCCAAAGTTGATGAAAAAGCTCACAGAAACAATCGATTGTATCCATTGTATGCTTCAAACCTAAAATCATATGACGTGCCTTTTTTTTTAAGACGTACGCACAGTACAGTACTTACGTACAGTACAGTACGTAAGTACAGTACGTAAGTACAGTACGTACGTACGTAAGTACAGTACGTACGTACGTACAATACGTTGTAGGTAAGTATCTGGTATTAACTGTTAACAGTTAAGTATGTACAGTACGTTTGTAGGTAGGTAGGTACGTACGTACGTAGGGACATACGTACGTCGTATAACATTTAGCTAAAGAACAATGTACCCAAGGCAAGTAAGCACGTAAGTACGTAAGTACATACCAGATACGTTTTGTACGTAAACTTTCTATAATTAAAATATATGCAACAAACAAGTAAATAAACGCCTGAATTCCTTTGTTATGGATTTTCTTTGTGAGATGTCAAACTTACTGTGCATATAAACTGGTATAGGAACCTGCATTCAGCTATACGTGCATTTAAACTTTTCCGATAAAGTACGATAACGGGAATCATTCAGAAAGTTAAATGTCAAAATTTGATGTTTTCATGTGGCTATATCCACTATATCCACTATATCCACTATATCCACTATATCCACTATATTCACTATATCCAATATTTTCACTTTGACAAATCACAAAAGTCATAAGCTGTGGGGAAATTGATTGAAACATATTATTAATATGATTAACATGATTAATATGATTAATATGGGGTAAATTAGTGATACATTTATTAAGAATCTTTAAGAACCTGCAAAGTAACACAAAGGGGAATTAGAATTCACATGATTGAGTTATTTAAGCTATTATTTGATAAAGCCGTAGCACTAGTTTTTTAATAATAGAGTACGTACGTACGTACATACGTACGTACTCTTCTCCTGTGTATTATTTTTGTGACCTCTTTTTTGAGTACTCATTCTCTTCCTGTGTGTGTAACAACTAGGTTTGTAACAACTTGTTTGTATTGTCATGGTTTGTATCATGGTTTGTAGGTTCGAATATTTGAGTATTTTCGAGATCTAAATCTCCGAATCTTTGTTATTCGTACATACGTACTGTCACCCGCAAATGTAACGCCATGATTTTCACTATGTAAGATGTAGAAAATCGGGCGTTACTTTTATGGGTGATTGTACAAAGGTTTTTCACAACATTACAACGTCGTTCAAAAAGTGATATCTAAATAATTCACATGTTTAAAAAAATAAAATAAACGATAAACAAAGTTTGATCCGAAGTTAAAATACAATCAGCTTAAAAAGATGTGATTTTATCTAATATAGGATGGATCCTGTTTTGATATTACACGAATGATAACTCATATGTGTATAGACATTGCCATATCAAATAGCTATTTATACTTTTGTGGAGGATTGTCTTTATGTTTTGCCGGTTGTTTATTAAATATGAAACTGACTTAACATACTTAACATACCTAACATACTTTAACATACTTTAACGTACTTTAACATACTGATACCGATACCGATACATACGTACGTACAGTACATACCTAACTTATTTCTTATAACAGATAAGCTATATATATCTGATATATATATATAAATATCTGATACGTATATAAATATCTGATATATATCTCTGATATATATATATGTATATCGATATATACATATTGACATATATATCGTTTGCGCAATTTAATTTTACTGCACTTTGATCACACACTTTAATTAAACTATATAAATACATTCGTTTAAAGGTAAATAAATCAAAATAAAGGTACCTTACTATAAGAAATGTTAGTGATAATAACCAATGGAATCAAAGTGATAATAAAACGTTAGCATTGATGAATTGATTGAATAGATTGAATAGATTGAATTGATGAATTGATAAAATGAATAAGGTCGATTAAAATCGTACACGCGTTAAACAAAAAAACTTTCTAGAATTAGTGTAGGCACCAATTAATCTGGTTTCCCCACACAACTCGACTTACCGTTTGTAGATGTTTATCTACTCCACACATAATGCAAAAATTCGAGTGTCAGTGATATGTTGATATGTGGAACAATATAATTTCTATTGGTGAAAGAGCACTGTCTTACAAAGAATAATGGGATTTGAGATTTTGATTGTCCTCTTTTTTTTTCTTTTTTTTTTTGACAGGGACGCATTGGCACTCACCATTCATTGATTATGTGTGGAGTTTGACAGGATTGACAACCGACTTTGGTCGTTTCTGAATGATTCCATTTATATCTTCTATCTACATCATTTTACCCTTTCTGCACATGTAACTTCTACAATTTCTACAATGTTTGTATTCTAATGTGACCCTGCGGTACTTTGATCACTTCTCCGATTTTTTATTTCACATTTCACAATTATCATACAATTATCGCAATTATCATACAATTATCATACGTTTGTTTTTGTTATAAAAGCACTTGCTGTGAACTGCTAGAGATTTTAGGATTCTCCTCAAAATACCACCAAACACCAGGGATTTCTCCTTTCTTATAATGACGTTGCGTTATTAAAGTGTGTGGTTTCTGAGTCATCGCGAAACCTTTTTTTTTTTCTTCTTTTATGTCTTTTCGTTTCATTCTATTAAAAAAAAATTCAGAGAAAAAAATTGAAAAAACTTCTACGACTCATGACTTATACATATTCGCCTGTCAAATGACAGGACCCCTATGCCAAAAATTTTTACGCTTTATTTCATTGTTTTATTTTTTTTTCTTTTTTTTTTTTTTTTTCCTTTTTTTTTTTTGCGGCACTATCGTATTTACACAATTTTCAATTTCGACTTTTTTTTTTTTTTTTCTTTCCAACTTACAAGTTTTCGCTTTGACTCAGAAACAGCACACTTTCCTTTCTTTTTGTTAATAATTTTTTCGTTTATAATTTTCGACTTTTTTTTTTTTTCCTTAAAAAATCTCGTTATTCATTTCGCAATTCGCTTAACATCAAATATTTAATTCGTTATCATAACTATATCTCGAGAAACTTTTTTTTTTTTTTTTTTTACGAACCTTCACCTCCTCTCAGGATAGTCAGAGCTAAATGCACCATATATAAATTTTATCTCACTTTCAAGAACCATTAAAATGTCGGTGTCGGATTATTTGGTTGCGGGACTTAAATACCGGCGAGGAAGACCTTCATTTATGGTCAACTTGGATTTTTATTTCTTTTTTTATTATTCGTTGGTCAAAGACTATACCTATATCGAATCTATATACCTATATCACGTGTTATCGAAAATCACTCACTCAACCGAGGCCTTCACTGGTTATGTCTACCTGGTTTATTTGGTATTTGGTGTTGGATGCTGTCCATTGTGCATTCGGTAAATATTTGTATTGTATTTAGGTCTTATGCATTATCGTATGCATTATCATATGCATTATCGTTACTCGTACTATATATATTATATGCTTATTCATTCTTACGTAATCTATGTTTCAGAGAATTCTCACCGTATTGATGAACTTTCAATCGGTTCTTAAACTTATGATCAGTCGGCCTCCTTCACTGATCTCTAATGGAGACCTTTTATGTCTCTTACGCTCCCTACGACATCTGCTCGTTTAGGGTTAACATAAGGTAATTTTTTATTATTATTATTTTTATTATTATTATTTTATTATTCATTATTATTAAACATTCTTCTATTTATCTATATAGTTCGCCCATAGCGACTTTCATATTCGTCAATTAACGTCAATTAACGTCAATAGTGTAAGATAAATAAATATCTTACTCTAAAAGAAAAATGAAGAGGAATTTTTCTATTTCACTCTTCTCCCTTTTGAGTTTTTTGATATGTCTTAGATGCTAGCCTTTTCTGCACTTTAAAAAAAAATCAAAAACAAAAAAAAAAACCGAAAAATTATCAAAAAAAACTCAAAAAAAAATATTTCTGGAATTTATTTTTCGGAAAACTAACTAGATATAGCTTCACACTCGAAGCATTGTAAATAGACTTTTTTTTTTTTTTTTTCTATTTTCTATTTTACTTTTTTTTTTTTACTCATTTATATTATTGGACACTTATATCTATCTACATTAACTCCTATATATCTCTCGCCATTATATTCTCTTATTTCATATATTATCTTGTATTTTTATTTTCCAACTTTTTTTTTTTTAGTATTTTTGAAATAAATATAAAAAAAAGAAAAAAAACCTACAAAAACATTTAAAAACAAAAATCTGCAAATGCTTGCAAGCTATGACTGCGTAATTTAATTTACTACTGCGTAAATTTAATTTACTATATACTGCGTTATACTGCGTAAATTTAATTTAGGCTAAAAAATTTCGGATCTTCGGATCTTTGCGATATTATATAATCAATTAATAATGTATTTTAGCGTATAATCAATTAATAATGTATTTTAGCGTTATGGTTAGTAGCGGTAGGGTTTTTCCTGTACAGCAAAGACCCAAATTTCCTATCAATTTTTGTATCTATTTTTAAACTCCGATACGTGGAAACTTTTTAATGGCAACGGTAAATGATTTTTTTTTTAGCCTTAAACTTCAATTTGGAATGTGATGACAATTTAAGTTTATTTTGACGGTAATGACAATTTGAGTTAATTTTAATGATGAACTGAATAATTTCCTTTTGAAAACTTTGACTTTTAAATAATCAGATTTTGGTACCTACATATCGATATGTATTAAGTCTAGTTATGTATAATTAAAATGTACGTACAAATTTTATTTTGGTGAACGCCTTACTTTTTTCTGCATGAAATTTTAAATATCTTTCACATGATTTACTGTACTTCTATATAAATAATGACAACTATCATCGTCATTATTAATTATCGACATTTTATGAATTTAGTAAATTTTAAATTAATAAAATTTAAAATTCTTTGCCATTCACTTTATTTATTATTACGTATAATGCATTTATAATTATTAAATAGACAATCAATTATTTTAAATCATTGTTTTATTATTCTTTTTTTTTTTATTAAACTTTTGTTGACAAACTTAATAAATACGTACGTACGTACGTATACTGTATGCAAAAGAATTTACATGTATTACAGCGTAAAATGGGCACAGGCACGTGACTTTGTGTGAAATCCGAAACCCAACCTTTCTAATAGGTGTCAATTTTGCATTAATTATGTAGTAATAAAAATATGTGTTATTATAGTTTCATAGACATGAATATTTTTCTTTTCATTATGTTTCGTTTTTTCAAAATGGAATTCACATCGACTCATTACTGTAATGTATTTAAAATCTTTATAAATATAACAAAATTTAGAATAAATATAATGATAGTTCTAACTAGAGATTGGATTTTTCTTAATCGTTTAATCGTTTAACCGTTTAATCTTGCCGGCATTAAAATAATTCAAGCCCACGACCAACATAATTCCGCCCGGAACTATGGAGCAAATTTTTAAACGGTTAAACGGTTAAACGGTTCAAATCCAAATTTTAACTAAAATCCAACTTTTATAACAAAAGAACCTTTCAAAGCTTAGAAAGAATAAAAATCACAAAAATCAGCCAAAAATTATTAATATAGATTACTTTAGTAATATTTTTACAGAGTTTAAGAGAATGTATAAGAAAATAGTCTAGATTTTGTTTTCATTATTAGGTAATTACTAATGATTATAATTTATCTAAGATTATAAATAATATTTGGTTAAGTAATTAAAAGTATTAATAATACTTTTAAATATATAATTACTAAAAAATTGATTATACTGTATATTATTATTTTACACTTAATAGAATATTTTAATAAAAAAATTATATAAAATAATTTGATTTATCGAAGTAAAAAAATATTATTTAAAGGGTCTAGTGACTTAGTATAATTGGTAAATTGTTATATCTTAAAGTAGCAAAACAAGAGCTTGAATCCCACTGGTGACAAAATTTAAATTTACAGTACATTATAGAAAACTGTATCCAATTGAGTTTACATCTATAATATAATTATATTAACTTATACTGAGAGGTTGTAAACCAATAGTATAATATATAAGTTATACAAAACCTGAATGAAGCAACTGTATAAAACTAATAGATTAAAGAATATAGAAGCTTGCTTGGCAAGATTCAAGTAAAGAGGTAGTATAAATTTTTAATAGTACTATATAAAGAATTATTATCTAAAAATCAACAAACTAAACAAGATTAAAATGTTTGGTAAAACATTTTACTAACCAGGCTGTCAAAAAGAAAAGACTCAATTATAGAAACAGAAGCAGATTATAGCCCTTCTGAGCTATTTAAATTAGAAGTTTTAGATAATTAAAAGTATTGTTGATAGTCTATAAAACATATATTGGAGTTTAAATAAATTCTACAAAAGCAGAAGTAAGTAATAGTAGTAGAGGTAAAAGATTACAATTACTTATTCTTAAATTCAGTATAAATTACTAAAATTTAGATTAGCCAAATTGTGATATAGAAAACTCTAGTAATTATGCTTCAAGAATAAATTAGTTCTAAAGAAACAAATCACTTCTTGACTAACAAATATAACAGAAATATACTAGTGATACAAATAAAGTTATATTACAAAAAGTTTAAATAGTTAACATCTATAATTGGTTATAAGTATAGCATTTAGTATAAAACCTAAAATATAAATTATAGACAGACTATTTAAAATAGATATCAAAAATATACATATAGCTAGTATATATTCTTTAAAATAAGAGTTTCTTTAAGGCTAATAGTTTTTTTTTTGTAGTCAAAGTTAGCCTTTTTGGCTTTATACTTTGTTAGATTATAGAATTATATGATATCTTTTTCAAGGAAACTCCAGACAAGTACATTCAAATAAAAATATATTTGACTATATATACAACTTTAGTTATTGTCTATTTAAAGACTCTGTTATATCTATTACTAGCTATAGTTATTCACTATATGTTGTATCTGAGATCTGTCTGTAAATCTTTCATTTAAACCCTCTGATCTGAGTTTCTTATGCCAATCTATCTAACTTTACTTAGAATATATAATATATTAGTCAGTTTAAGTTTTAGGATTATTGTATACTTACTTATAAGACTACTGACATAATTAACTAATTTATTTTCAAATACATTGTCTGTTAAAGCTGTCTGTTATTTACTTTTAATATATAACCTAGTTTTTTTTAGATGGTATTATTAGATAGGTTCTATATCTTTACAAGCAGACCACATCATCAATTCTTTTCATAGATAAGTTCATCAGATAGGTTCTAAGCCTTTATAGGCAGGCTACACCACCAAAGCCTTTAGCTCTTGCCACCACTAAACCTTTTAACCCTTGCAAAGTTTACTCAAACCTTGATATCTTCCCTTTTAGTATCCTATAGCCAGTCTCTTCAAACTACCAATTCAGATGGCCTGAAAGAGAAATCTATTTTTTTCTTTAGTCAATCTGGTGGTCTGGTTGGTAGAGTAACTTACTGATACTCTTATTTCATCCAGTTCACCAGCCTTAAATAGAGTCTATTCCAGTATAGTCTTAGATTTTACCAAATATAGAAATCGATTTACAATATAATAAAGAATAC